TTGGGGTATATTATACGATAACTATACTAAGGAACCCACACAATCTTCTCGTCTTGTTGCATTTGCTCCGAAAGTGTGGCTGGTTCGCGCCCCGTGCCTCCATAGGTGTTGACATAAGCCGTTGTACTCAGAACGATGAAGAGCGCGAGAACGCCAACAGCACCTTACGCTCAGCATGCCTCTAGAAGGCATCTTGGATTGTATAACTGTGCATGCACCGTAAAAGCTAGGCCCTAAACCATGTAAGCCGTAAGCCTAAGCACTTAGCAAAACATAGTAGACCCAAACCCGCTGGACCATGATGCGTTGTACCCTAAGCCCTCAACCCTGAAACGTGCGTCCATCTCGACATTTCCCTATAAACATATGTGTATGTATGTATGTATATATATATATATACACATACAATTCTTTGTACATGTAATGGTGCTTGCACATCTGTACACACACACATGTACATATCTATACACAAATATATGTATATAAACATATTATGTATTTTTGTAGATGCATACATACATACATAATGCAGTGTATGTGTATAAATACATGTATATGGATCGCATTGTTTACTTATAACTAATACTTGTGGTTTACTTACATGTTGGGTTAGATTGGTGTTCTTGTGCAGTTATATCTTGTTAAGCTGCTTACAAACCCTATGTGTCGAATGTATGAGACAATGTATGTGTGTGCATGCATGTATGTACAAATGTACGCATGTATGCACGTACACGCATGGCGGTTGGTTAAGCCTCACGCCCCCCAAAATCACCTGATCTGTTCTGGGTTAGCAGAGCTTGCGATTTAACTGATTTGCACCATCACCCATTGACCCATTGATGCCCGCGGAAGCAGGTGCTGACATTCATGAGTGTAGCAGTTGAAAGGGGTATTATGGGGGCCTTAATAATCAGAATAGAGTTTGGGGGGGGGTTTCTTATACTATAGTAATAATAAGGAACGCCCAAAATCCTGTTCCGATTATTAAGGCCCCTATATTATGAAAGCAGCACCTTGTTCCTCTGACAGGAGGTGGTCTGAATAGGGCATGAGATTCCATGTTGCTGAAAAGGCAGCAAACAACGACACTAAGTCCATGTAGTCTAAACTCAAGAAAACCCGTAGTAAACCCTACATCGAATAAGCTGAACCCCAAATCCTAGATCATCCTAGATCCATCAAACTATGGTGTTCAGGGTTTTCCCAACCCAGCAAGGCCGTCTTCCGACAAGCTGCTGTCGTAGTTGTCGCCTTTGTTCATCCAATACCTGAGGGAAAATGCAATCCTAAACCCTGCACACCCTAAACCCAGGACCCCATAAGGGACCTAATTCCCAGAACTACACTCATGGAGTTGTTGGGCCGTGTCCCTAAAACCTCAAGAGTTGACAGCCAACCGCCAGCACCAACATCCAGGCCTGAAGCCATGAAGATTACCTGCCTAAGCCCACCCTGAATAAAGGGTTTAGGGTTTAGGGTTTGGGGTTACCCTAGGCCCACCATAAATCTAAGGCTCAAACCCTAAACCCTAAATCCTCAACCCTAAAAACCCCTAAACCCTAAATCCTAAATCCTAAACCCTAAAACTCTAAGCCCTAAAACCTTACTATCCTGCACCGCACACAAAAAACGTTAGTCGCAACTCTTAGGACCTGGGCCTCTGGTTCAAGGAGTCCCGTTCACGATGCCTCTCTGCAGGCGCGGGGCCTTTGTTCCTCACGGAGGAACCTGATTAAGAAACCCTGGGGGCCCTTCTTTATGAAGAAACCCTGGGCCCTTCTTTAAGAAGACACCCTGGGCCCTTCTTTATGAAGAAGCCCTGAAACCCTGGGCCCATTTTTGATGAAGAAACCCTGGGCCTTACTTGTTGTATGGATCCTACTATTTAGGGGTTACATGCCCAGAGTTTCTTGATCAGGTTCCTACAAATGGCATTCGAATCACTCTGATTAGGACGATTGCTAACTAGGTGATACAGCCACACCAAGTGCCGCGGAATCTGCTATCATTAGTTTTCGCCCTCTGGTGTCCGAAGGCAAGCGCCCTTCGGCTCTACTGTCGCTAAGGGCCTCTGACTTTCAGATTGTAACAGATTCGGCAATGCATGTTTAGAAGTGCTTTCTGATTGGGGTTTGGGGTCTGGGGAATATTGCCTCCAGCACTGAACCTAAATTATGCAGATAACGACACAAGGGGACCGAGAACTATCTGTTTTTCTCGCTCCTTCTCCCGGCGACCTCTGTCGTGCAGTCTCTCTTAGCGCCGACTTTCTTCGAGTTCAGTGCTGTTTAGGTTAGAGGCTTCAGGATCGGGGTTCAGGCTTGAGGGCAACGCACGAAAATCACTCGAAACCCTGAACTCAACCCTGACCCTCAACCCTAAACCCTATTAGCCCCAGACCCAAAAACCTAAACCAAAGCCCAAAAACCTAAACCAACACCTCAAAACCTGAACCGAAACCCTAATACCTAAACAGAAAGACTGAAACCTAAATCGAGACCATAAAACCTAAACCGAAACCCTTACTCGCGACTCCAGCAAGATGGCTTTCAGCGCGAGATGCTGAGCACGGACGTGAATCCAGCTCGGGTTCCTCGGCCATAGGGCTTCATGAGATTCGGATTTAGATTTAGGGTGCAGGGGTTTAGGGTGTGCAGGGCTTAGGGGTGTGCGGTTTAGGGGATTATGCAGGAGTTATAGGGGCTTAGGGGTTTAGGTTTCAGGGTTTAGGAATCTCTAGTAAACAAAGATGGGTGGCCTCCGGTCAACACGTTCATGGTTTACTTCGCGTATGCTACATACATCACGTTAGAAGTTGTACAGCTAGTACACACCACACTATACCATGCCATAGCATACAGAATCCTGACCATAAACACACACACACACATATATATATATATATGTATAAACTCATGAACAAGTTCGTACATACCTACATACATGCATACATACATGCATGCACACATACGTACATATGACACACATGTAGACGTATGTGCGTGCGTGTGTGTTTGTATTTATTTGTATTTGTGTACATGTGTAGATGTACATGCATATACATATATCGGCTGCATATACACACACATATGCACCTGTACACACTGTCCCTTTTAATTGAAGGTCCGTTTTAACAAAGGGGCCCAAATTTAGAGAACTACTCATAAGAGTGGATGTGCCAGATGGCCTCTCTCAGTCTGGGTCTGCCGGCACTCAAGGTACCAGGTATAGATCGACACAGCGAAGAAGAAGCCGAGACGATGCATAGCTGGGTGAAAGTAAAGAGAGAGAAGCTGGCTCGTACATATGCAGATCCATCAAGATATGGAAACTGTCATGGTGGCCCTACCCATAGGCCCTAAAGTAGTTCCCTTTGGGGGTTCATATATAGAGCGCTATAAGGTAATCCCAAAAGGGAACTACTATGGGGCCTATGGGTAAGCCCTGAACCCTCAACCCTAAACCACGTAAGAGGGTCCTGACTCCTACATCTTCCAGCTCTGAGATTTCCTCGCTGCAACCTGTCCCTTTAGCCAAACAGCAGTCTCCCGTGGCTCAATCTACGGCGCCTACATGCCTGACATAGAAAGCTACGCTTTCAGAACAGAATGCTACTGGGTGGTGGAGAACACCAAAATATTCGAGGTTGGGTATTAGAGAACTATGTCTCTTCAAGACACCGGAAAGACACCTCTTTCTCCAGAAAGCTAAGTCAAGAGCAGCACGTCATACCACTTCTGGCTGTGCAGGATGACAATGCCAACCTCGCAAACTCAGAGTACACACCTCAAGCGTTAAACCCCATGTTCATACCATTATGAATCCCTAAGGGTCCAAGTACCTAATAATCATATACTCTCCCGAATAGTAACCTACATAACTACTATCAGAAACCTAAGTACCTTATTCTTGGGTCCTTTGGACCCTTGGGGAATTGTTCAGACCCCTATATTAGGATTATTGGGGGCTATTAACAACGGGACCTTTTCGATCGAGTTCTTCAGATCTCTATACAAAACAAGAACTTGGGGCCGTAGGGCAGGGTTGAGGGTTCTGGATATGGGCGAGTCTTTCCTACATTCGCTGCATTGCAGGAATGATCCCACTGGAACAGAGGACATGTTGCGAAGGCAGTATTCATGAGGCCGGGAAAGAGAAGGCGGTCTGCCTGCTCGGAACGACCCATCGTCAATGTAACCAGCTTCTACGTTCCAACAATGTTTGTCCACTGCCAGGCCTCATAAACCTACGTTCAACTAACTGCCCTCGAAACACCCTAGGTGCAAAAGCAAAGCCGAACCGAATACCGCAGAAGAACACCAAATCATTAACCAGCAAAGCCCTGCCTCTAAACCCCAAGCCCCTGCCAGGCCACAACCACAATTCCACACCCAAGAAGATATGGTACCAAGACGCCTTCCAGGGTCGGCAGAACGTTCCGGGTCTAGGGTGAAGACTGTAGAGAGATTCGGAAGCAAGCCCTAAACCGAGTACTTATCTGGGAGGTGTTGCAAGTAATAGAACAAAAAACCAAACAAATGATAGACACATAGTACAGACCTCTATTGCAGACCCCAAGGATAGTGGAGTTTCCTACTAAGGAAGTCCGGTGCCCTAAACCCTGAACCTCTAAACCCCCAAACCCGAAACCCCTAAACCGTGGCACGGAAGGCTTTGGAATTCAAACCCCCCAAAACGAGAGCCGCGACAAGCTGAGGGAACACGCGCCTCTGAAATCCCTCCTGGTTTAGAGCATCAGAGGTTGGGGTTTAGGGTTTGAGGGCCGAGTGATGGTTCTCACACCTGAACCCCTAAGGGTCAATGTACTCAAAGAGTATAATTGAATTATGCTTTGGCCATGAACCATACTATAGGACCTATAATTATATTCTGTCCCTGAAGTACCTATATAGGGGCTACTTTAAGCCAACAGTATGTATTACTTGGGCACAAGGACCCCTAGGAAAGACATAGTCGTACACCCAGCCATACCGTTTCTGGAAGTCATGTGAAGCAGGTACTGGAAAAGCATGCCCTCCACGGAAACCCGTAAACATGTCATAATCTCGAAAGTTTATAGAGATTACAAGGCCATGGGCTCCCAAGTTCTTGCACAAATACTTCGAAGTATCCCGGAGTGCCACCTAGACAAGTGTGCAAGTCTCCCTCTGGCCATGCAGCAACTGATTTGGAGCTGAACTTTACAAGGAACGCCAATGGGGCCCTATCATGGGGCCCTATGGCCTAAATCAAAGGCCATTTAACCCTAAACTTTAAAGCCTATGTGCCCCAAGCCCTGAGCCGTTGAGAAGCCCTAAACCCGAAACCCCTAAACCCCTAAACCCTAAACCCTAAACCCCAAACCACTAAACCCTAACCCCTAACCCCTAACCCCTAAACCTTAAACCCTAAGCAACCCTGCCTGAAACTGTTCGCAAGCCCAAGAGTGTGGCTGTTGGCCGAAACTTGGCCAACTCAGGTCGGGCGCGCGACTGGGTCATGAAGAACCTCGGATTCAGGGGTAGGGGTTTAAAGTTTGGGGTTTAGGGTTTAGGATTCAGGGTATAGGGTTTAGGGTCATCAAGAACCTCGGATTCAGGGGTAGAGGTTTAGGGTTTTGGGTTTTGGGTTTTGGGTTTAGGGTTTAGGGTTTAGGGTCATGAAGAACGTCGGATTCAGGGGTAGGGGGTTTAGGGGTTTAGGGGTTTAGGGGTTTAGGGGTTTAGGGGTTTAGGGTTTAGGGTTTAGGGTTTAGGGTCATGAAGAACGTCGGATTCAGGGGTAGGGGTTTAGGGTTTAGGGCTTATAGGGTTTATAGGGTTTACAGGGTTTAGGGTTTAGGGGTCTAAGGCTTGGGATTTAGAGTCGAAGAGAAATCATGTAGGGCTTATGGGGCTAGGGATTTAGGCTTAGGATCTAGGCCTTATGACAATTTAGGACTCTGGGCGTTTTTCCGGTTAGTATGTTCGTTGCTAGTATTCTCATTCATTTTAGGAGAGAAAGATATATTACGTACTCGCTATAGTTTATGACTAATGCTGTGTTAAGGATGCTTGGTTCAGAATTCACGAGTCTGAGGAGGTCGGAGTCCAAAGTTTCTCTGTTGGTTTTTAGGACTTTCGGATTTTGGGCTCAGGACTTTAGGCTTTTGGAGGGGTGAGGATACATGGGCCAAAAGCTGCGGCTGCCTGCATCTCTATTGGCCGAGCAAGTGTTGGGCTTTGGAATATTGGTGGGTTTAGGATTCAGGGTTTAGGGTTTCGGGTTTTGGATTCATGCAAAAGCCGTGAGGATTGAGTTGAAGGCTTTCTCTGAAGGCCCAAAACGTAAACCCTAAAAGCCTAACAACCTCAAGAAGAGGCTTCTTACCCCAACGCCCGCAAACTCTACACCTTAGCCCGATGTAAGCTATCTACGGTAGATGATGGCTTCGGAATCAACAGTGTACCTTTGGTCGTTTGCTTGCCTGCTCTGCGGCAAGCTACTGCAAAATTACGCTTTGCAGGGCTTTGTTGTGCGTGAACGTGTCCCAACATGCGTGTCCCCCCCATAAATTCTTACTTCCCCAATAAGCCAGGGAAATAAAAGGTTCAACTTTCAGGTTACTACTAAATTACAAGAACCCACAAGTTTAAAGGTTGGGTATTTGGGAACTAAGAATTGTGCATAGAGGGAGCCTTCATACGATTCAAGATCTCCCACACATAATATAGAAGCCTAAATAATTACCAATACTATTTTGGGTGCTCCTTGTTAGAATTATAGTATCGTGGGCCCCAAAACCCTATTCTAATTATTTAGGCGCCTACATTAAGGGGTTTCGTTCCTGCAGAGCCTCAATCGGCCCCTTCCCCGTGGAGTTCCACCCATCAGGGCCTCTTGCTTGTCCAGTATCCTAAGTGAACTATAGGTTAGCCTTTCAGAATATACCACGATCATAAACCACAAAGGTTAAAGCTTGACTAACTTACTACTAGGGCTTAAAGCGGCGTGTTACCATGAGGGTTCCCATATGGGAGTCTCGTGGGTATATTGAAAATACTGTTGGAGAGAGTTTGAAGATCAGGGGTCAGGATTTGTGTGTTTGCTTCGGGTTGAGCCACCAGAGCAACTAAATTGTTAGTACAGCAACAACGACTCATATTGCTATTATGGTTAGTGTTGTTACTCCCGTGAAAATACTGCTGCTGCTGCTGCTGTTGCCGCGGCTAGCGCTGCTGCTGCTGCTGCAATTGCTGCCACCACTAGGATTCGGGGTTTGGGGTTGGCTGATGGGTGTGGCTTCTCGTTGAGCTACGAGGAGGTGGTGAACAGAAGTTGAACCCTGAACCTGCACCACGATGACAAAGATCGGGAAAACAGATTCCAAGCCCGAACTCATCAACCAAAGCCGGTCAGCAAGCTCTAAACCGTTTAGAGTTTAGGGTGTAGAAGCCAGTCAGAACGCTCTAAACTCAGAGGGTTCATGGGTTAAAGCTTCGGTCTAAGACGGGGAGCATCATGATGACACCAACACCGATGTCCTGCAGCGTAGAAAAAGATGGGAGGAGCTTCACTGGGTCTTGGGCGGATGATGTTAATTGGGTGTTAAGGTATGTACTGGTAGAGTATATGTCCGGCAAACTACAACGGCACCAGTATTACATAGACACGACGTCGAGAATGTGCCGCACGTAGAGCAAATCTCCAAGGGGTGCTTTATCCCTAAACCCTAAACCCCAACACTGTAAACAAATTCCTGAGGAACACCTCGTCCCCAAGCAAGGAACAGAAAACACTACTGAGCCCAAAAACCCACAACCGCTGTTCAAAGTTTTCCTGATTCCTGAACCCTACAACTTTAGGGCTTTCTTGCTTTATGATGTACACAAAGCAAAATCCTGAAAAGCAAGTGGGCTTTTTGGGGTTCAGGGCCCCAGCCGTAACTATTTGAATAGGGCTTTGGGGCCTATTATACAGCAAGTATCTTCGGGGCTTTTAACAGGGCACTCTTTCTAAATATTCCAACTCCTATATTCACCCTCGTAGGCCATCAGGTTGTCTGCTTGCCGAAAGCTGCGGCGTACATACAGGTTTTATTGGGGCGAATATGCTCCGTCGATTTGTGCTGCAACCTCTGCAGGACTTTCTAAACCCTAAACCCTAAACCTTAAAGCCTAAACCCTAACCAGAAGCTTGAAAGTCGCAAACTCGCACTCTGCACGCAGAAGTCGAGGGCTACATGTAGCCTTGTAGGCACATCTGAACTTAGAGCGCTTTAACCAAGCTATCACAATGCAGAAGTACCAGGATCGTATGGAGACATGTTCTTGGGCCCCAGGCAGATGTCATCCACACCCACCTGGATCTGTCTTATTTTATTTAACGGTATATAAACCTTCTATAAGGCTCCTATAACGATAACTACCCACCTGGATCTGTCTTATTTTTATGAGGCATGGCAGAGTTGCCCCCCTTGTGTTCTTTCAACTTTGCTTCAACCATGCACTTCATTCAGAACATGCAGTCTCGGGTGTACTTCACATCACTCACACGATCATTTGGGGATTCTCAAAAGCTGAGGGGGGTGGTACTTGTACCGTATGTTTGAAGGGTCCGGAACCGGATATTGCGGGATCCTCCTGCTTCTCAGGGTCCCCCCCCATTTTCTAAAAGCTCCGATTTGAAGAGCAGCCCTAAACCCTAAACCCTAGTTCGGTGTGGTGTTGGCAACGGGTTCAGGAGCGAAATCCGACGGAAGAGCTCGAAGAAGCATGCGAGTTGAAGGACAGCAAGTTGCTTGGTGCAGGCTAGCGGTTTCGATTAAAAAAGAAGCCTCAATAGTTACCAAGTATTATTCCCTAGGGCTTCTTATGATGGTCCTTATTGTGGCCCTTATTATGGTTACACTACTTACAAGGTTCTCCCACGCCCACCACAGTCTCCACACCCGGGAGGGACCCTTAAAGGGACCCTTGGGGTTATATAATATAGGGCCATGAGACTATATAAGGGGTATATAAGGGTTATATAGGGTATCTGGATTAGGGGTCCCTCCGAATGTCCCTTAAACCTACACATATTCGTGCTTCAGGGAGTTCTCGCAAGTAGCCTGCAACACCCTGAGCAATTTCGATGAAGACACTGGAAAACCACTGCAAACACCAACTACCCAGACCTACAACTTCGACCTCCGCCGTCTCCGTCGCACCTCTGAACCCTACCTATAGTCTCCATTGTAGTTCCTTTTTGGGATTACCTTCTAGGATTCTAGAAATGAACCCCCAAAATGGCTTCTTTAGGGCCTATGGGTAGACCCTGCAGGTTGAGAGGACTCCCAAGTGTCCGGTGTCCCGAAGCCCTATTGCCGTAACCACAGCAAAGTCAAGCCCCCCCAGGTACTTACTGCATAGGGTACTAGAGCCCCGAAGGCCCCATCTAGTAGGTACCTGGGCGGTTAAGCCCTGAACTCTACATGCTTGAGATGATCGAAGCTAATACAGAGCCCCCCCAAGACCGACCCGTGAGTTCAAGAACACAGCACTAAACCAGACAAAACCGCAAGGCCTTGACAGGCCTAAATCTCCGAGCAAGCCTGCAAAAAAAAACACCTACACTAAGTTTACCCCAAAACCCTGTGAGAACATAAAACCTCCAAAAGCTCTTTTGCCCTGAAGCCAAAAAATCCATCGAAACTGAACCCACCAAAAAATCTTTAAACACCTAAGAACCCCCAAAAAAACCCTGAAAACCACTACACAACACCCTAAGAAACCAAGAAAAATGCTCTGAGGCCGGTCGCTCACCAAGACTGAGGTTCTTGAAGATGATGAAGACGGTCCGGATCTTGGGTTGAGGATTGTTGAGGATTTCAGGGTTTTTTTAAAAGTGTTTTAGGGTTTTAAAAGTGTTTTAGGGTTTTTAAAGGTTTTAGGGTTTTAGGGTTCTTAAAGGTTTTAGGGTTCTAAGGGTTGTTAAAGGTTTTAGGGCTTGAGGGCAATCGGACCTTGGGTTTAGGATTCTCTTCTGGGGTTTCCTAAACCCTAAACCCTAAACCCTACACCCTAAATTCCCACCCGGCCCCCTTGGGCCGTTCCCACCCA